ATTATTTAATGAGACATTTTTTATTATGTATATATTTATATATTTGTGTGTGTGGATGTGTGTGGGGGTGATTGGGGTCAAATATAGATTATAATCCAATAGAATGATAGGAGAAGAAACAAATAGGCAAGGTTTATAAATCTAACATGTTTTACTTTTATTTAATCTTCCTCAGAGATTTTTTGGAATGAATCGTGGAAAAGAAAGTGCCAGAACTTTGTCTTATCCCATCATATATATATATATATATATATATATATATATATATATATATATTCCCAGCATAGTTGCAGTATAAACGACAGGTGGGCTCTGTGGGTGTTGAATAAACACAAATGCGCCTGAGCAACCGTATGCAATATTAGACAGACATCCTCGAATACGAGTGGCCAGCTATACATATATATGTATATATTGCGGACAGACACCCAAGATAGTACACATGAATGTAAATATATGTGTGGATGTCTGTGTGTGCGTAGGTATGTAAAACAACAAGAATAATTACGGATTTAGTAGATCTTTTTGTTTACACACATCAGCATTGAAATACAGTTCATAATGTATTGATAACAAAAAAATAATTCAAGTGTTATCAATGGATTTTGATTCGAAAACTCAACCGGTCGAAATAGTGGAAACAATAAAAACAACCCGAAAAATATCTTAGATTCCTAGCAATGACTCGTCTAAAAAATATTTCATCGATTAAAGAATCATATCAAATAAGATAAGCCGACTTATCCCAGGATTTTAATTTTGTTTTCGTAAGCAGAATTTCGATTTGTCTTGTATGAATCTAATGTAAAAAGTGTTAAAATACAATTTATTTCCAAACAATTTGAATTTTTCAATTATAGCCATCCGTACATGCCAATATGCTACACCCAAACATAAACAATTTGAGAAGCTAAATGTATAAGAGTATGCTTTCTCTGAAAATGGCGCTTTTCACAAGTCAACGTAGAAGTGATCCATAACCGTACTTTACCACCCGTGGCTCGAACAATGTAACATATTTGCTGGACTAACTGAGTAAAGTAAATACTTATTTGATAATATATTTCAGATTCAAGATTTCATCATCATTGACCAAATTTAGGAGGTCATACAAGAGTCCACCACGTTTATTTAATTTGTAGTCGCTGAAATATTTAGGGGCCTTTTGTTTTTGAATGGACTAAAGAGTCGCCGTGTTATTTGTAAACGGAATATAGCAGCGATAACAAATGCAATACAATATGATATGAAAGCCAATATGGCTGGGATATTAAAAGGAAAAGGTGAGTGACAGAAGAAACGATCGATCCATTCGTCTGTTAATACATTTGAGATAACTGAAAATAGTAAAATTGCCTTTGCCTCTTTAAGTGATCCCAAAAATATATCATCATAAGAATGTCATAGAGGAACCAAAAGGCAGTAAATAAAGAATCAACGCTTTTACCATTTGACCAATAAATAGTAATCTGGCTGAATCGATTCCGTTTTACTGTTTTGTCCAAAAGATACTCAAATATTCACTGTGCTTATTGGCAATTAATAGTGGCATATATATATATATATATATATATATATATATATATATATATAAAGGTGAAAGACAATAAGAAAACTGTATTATTAGTCGACGCGTTTCGCTCAATGTGGACTTTTCAAGGGAAAAAATTTCGTTTTTGCCTCGAAAAAGTTTTACTATTGTCTTTTATCTTTATCCATATTGTCTTTTTCTATAGGCTAACTCTGATAAATTTTTCTATATATATATATATATATATATATATATATATATATATATATATATATATATCGGTTGTAACAGTAAAATTGTCCAAATCTTGTTACAGCATAATTGTCCTTCCCACGAAATGTTTAATAGCTAAAAGACCACTAAACTAATTGAATTTCATTTTTTTTCCAGGTGTTTTAGATAATACATTTAGCCGTCCACTTACTCAGTTAGAAAAAGAACAAGTTAAAATAGTTTTGTGTCAGCCTCACTGTCTTCTCAACTGAGCAATGGTGAGAGGCAAAATCATTCAAGCCTTTAGTCATGATACCAACATTCATACCCTGGCTTTCATCTTCAAAGTTCATTCAAGAATCATCAAGAGAATGGTGAATAAGTTTTAAAAAAAGCAACAGTAGAGAGGAAAACGGGATCAGGATGTCACAACAGCAAGAGGGATCATCATTTCAACTTAGAGCTAAAGAGATGAATTAGAAAAGATCCAACTCAGACATTTGGCACGTGAGATTGGAGTTTCAGCTATGACAGTCCAAAAAGCAGTGAAAAAAGAAAATTAAATGGTATGCGAAACCTGTGAGGCACCTTGTTTATCCATGACAGAAAGAAGTTTAGAGAGGGCGAAAATCATCTTGATTAAGTTGGAAAATTATTCTGGAATAATATATATATATATATATATATATATATATGCCTCTGTGTGTGTGTGTGTGAACTTAATTTCAATTTCCGATTCCTTAGTTAATAATGAACATGTCATTTTCGTTTATGATAGATTTCATCACGATTCTTCTGTTAAGTCTGGTGAGTAATTACACATTCATATTTCTCAAAGTAGAATCCAATGGTGTTACAAAAACCTCGGAGAATTCCAATAAGATATCTTTAATCATTTCTAAGTTACAACGGTTTAAAAGCTTAATCTAACAATCTGACAATTTTGCTTTTACACGATTTGGACAATTTTCCTGTTACACCAGGTATATATATATATATATATATATATATATATATATATATATATATATATATATATATATACACACACACACACACACACACACACACACACATATATATATATATATATATATATTCAAGGGTGATTTTGAAAGGTCCGAAGTGTGTCGGGGTGAGGACTTTCAAGCATCCTATCGCATTAATACAGTCAAGCCCGAAATTATTCAGAAATCTATGCTAAATTACCGATTAAAAATATCTAACAAAACCATTTCCTTTTTACCAACACAAATTGATATCTTAAGAAAGAAGAGTGAGTCAAATAATACATGTGGAACATGAAGAAAAACTAAATTTCATTGAAATATTTGCACTTTAATCACATATGTCGTGTACAGCAATATTTATGTCCTTATCGAGAAAGAATAGAAATGATCTATGCTGTAAGGGTTTTGATTTTTCTCCGTTACGTTAGTGTGTTCCTCATATACTATAAAATGACTTTAAGCTCTTTAAGTGGTGGTTTTGTGCTTCCTAACTAGAATTAAATACTATACATTTGTAATGTTTGTAATTTCTTGTCAGGATAAAGCGCCATTCGCCATAGATAATATTAACCATTGAGTGAGGACCACGGGTTAAACATTATGACTACCGACAATGAGAAGAAAGATTATAAAGCCATAACCAATCAATTTGAAGTACAAAATTTTAAGGTATTATGAAGACATTCAAGAATGTCGTCACCATTGAAAGCCTCAAAGGACGTTGGAGGAGACCCAACATATACCTCCGTGCCACAAGAAAAGTCTCTAGAGACATCAAGCGCAATCTGAAGAATACGATGACTGGTTTGAAGGACTGATATCAAAATATATCAGCTAATCCACCAGCAAATATTGCATAAGGCAAGCCTCTTGGAAGACGACCAATGAGGGCTTCAACAATGCAAGCCAGTCACGCGAAATTTCGTCCAATCTTTGCTAACCATCCTCTTGATAAGGATTCAAGCAGTCTTTGGACAGATGAACCAAACATTGAGCTCATTGGGAAGAAGATTTTTCGTTTAGTGAGAAAGGGGTGAATCTTTCATTTGAAAAAAATCACTATTCGAACAGTCATGCCGATAGATTGTTCATGGAATATACTGCTAATGGTTTAGAATGGCCAAACCAGAACCCAAACGTTGAGAATTTATATATATAGAGAGACTTGAGAACACAAGTAGAGACGAGGAAGTCTTTTAGATTGAAGGAACTGAAAATGTTAGCAGAAGAAGAGTGGCCTAATATCACCGTTGAGATTACTCGGAATCTGGTGATGAAGTATGAGTACTGGGGTAAAAGTTGTGATGGTGAATAAAGGCTTTGCAACTGGTTATTAAGATGTGGTTATGAACAATTAACAAGATACCCTTTGCGGTCAAATAGAAAATAACACTTCAATAAAAAAACAGGTTTTTTCTGTGTTTCCCATGTAGTGTTTCTCCCTGTTTCATGTACACATAGTATTTCTTTCTTTAGATGTCAATTTATGTCACGTCAGAAAAAAATTAAATAAAGATATTTTAAAATCACAATTTATGAAGTATGAAGGGTACTAATAATTTTCTAATATATATATATATATATATATATATATATATATATATATATATATATATATATATATATATGTGTGAAAAGTGTATATAAATATAAATAAATATATATGTATAATTATTTATATATTATATACGTGGTATTATTAGAAAGCGCTCAATATCAGAGATAGATAGATATTTTATTTGATAGATGTGAGTTTGACCTGCTTTCACGCTTTAGCGATCGTCTGACGATCGCTAAAGCGAAACCCAGGGGTCAAGCAAACTCACATCTATCCAACTAAATATATATATATATATATATATATATATATATATATATATATATAGGTAGGGTTAAAAGTTCTCCGCGCGACCCACTTCATAAAATTTGACCAAATTAATAGACAATTTGAGGCGGTGTGAAATACTTTCATAACTTTTCAGCATCCTACACACACACACACACACACACATATATATATATATATATACTTCTGCGAGTATGTGATCTCAGAAGTAGAACCATAACTTTCTGGGATAATACTGTTTTTATTGCTGAAGTTCTGCGGTCACACTGGATCTATTTATCAACCCTAAAGGTTATTTCATTCTTGGACTCCGCCAATCAAGGTTGAGTCCAACACCCTTTTCATTTCGCTTACCCTTTTCTTTCTCGCTATTCATCTTTCAACTCCCTGTTCTTACAAAATGCTTTCCAAATACAAAACCCTGTATGTGCACTCAAAGGTCATTACGCCCAGGAATTCAAAAATACGTGAAAAACTCTTTCTTTCTTTCTTTGTCATTATCTTTTTGGCTTTCTTTTACTTCCTATCCTCACTTTCATTTACATTTTGTCCTCATTTTCTTTACTTCGTGTCTCACACTATGTTCTCTATTTTTACTTCATGTCCTTTTTTTTCTTTCTTTTACATCTTGTTCTTCTCACATTATTTCTTTTCTTTCATAACAAAAGTCTTTGGCCCTGTAAAGGAGATCTCGTGTCCAATCTCGAAACTTCAGCAATAAAAAATATAATTTCTTTTCATCTTTTTTTTTTTTTGATTGAATAATTTCTTTTCATCTTGTTTGTGTGTTTCTGTATTATTTTTCAGCATATATAAATACATTCATATATTTGTAAATATGGTTGAAGTAAAAATGTTCGCGCTTTCAAAACACATATACGAATGAACATCATTGAATTAATCATATTTTAGTAAAAATAATTTCTATTTCATTAACGAATTTATTGTTCCTGTTCATCGATTTGTTTTTCTTTTAAGCTTTTTATTGTCAGAAATTCCCTTTCTCCAATGGTCACGTCTTGAATATAGAAGAACTTTTTAATGATTTGATTGATAAGGTTGGCATCACGCATGGCTTCGGGTCCGAGTTTCCAAAATTTTCAACATTGACTACAGCGTCCTTCTTCTTGTTCGGAGTCAGACGCACGGCATTACGGGCGCTGACGGACGGGTCCTCAGGGAAATAATTAAAAGGGGTCAGCATGAATGAGAGTTCCGTCTCAGGGGTCGCTACGTTCGGTATGTCCTCAGACCGAGGTATATGATATGTTCCGAGGGTGAGCCAAGCAACAAGATCCTGAAAAATAAAAACAAAAGTGATAATGAATTGAACATAGAATAAACTTTATCGCCGATCTCGGAAAGATGCATTACAAAAACTAAACAAACTATTAAGAAAAAGGAAAATTTTTTTACTGGAAACAAAGAGTTCTCAACTGTTCTTCAGTATGCGTTCTCTCTTATGACAGTAAATGCTGGACAATTTCCTCACATAAGAGAAGTTTTGAAGCAACAGAGCTCTACAGAAGGATGCTGAGAATGCAAGTAAAATGTGAGCAACTTGGAAGTTTTAATGAAAATAGAAACAAAAAGTAAACTATACTTGGAATCAGAACGAGACAGTTGACATTTAAGGAATACATAATGAGGAAAATGGGCTTGGAGAATTTAACACTCCCAAAACACACCCGAAGACAAAAAGGACAGACGTAAACAGTGAATAACCTTACAAACTTGTGTAAATGAATGACAGGGCATGAAATGGGAAGGGATAAACATTGCCTAGAGCTACGAAGGATAGGAAGTTGAGGAGAGCCTATGATCGCCCGCGTCATGAAAAGATATGGCACCTAAATAAAGAATATATTTTAGTAAAATATTTGACCTACAATATTATTATTTGTTGGAACACATCAGGGAACCAATATCAAGTTTGGTGAGCCGGCTGTTATATTAACGAGCTAATCGAATTTTCCATCACGAATCAGTTAATGTTTGATCTGATATAGCGTAAATTATGAGAAAGAAAATTAAAACATCATATTACCCAGTCGGTGGGATCTGGAATAAGCCGACTTAATTCCCTGCATATAGATAAGATAATTCCTCACAAAAGGGCCACCGACTGAATAAATGCATATTGATTCAAATATAAATGACCAATATTTATCTATCCTCGAACCAGACAAATGCTTTTAGACTCAAATATAAATGATCAATATATACCTATCTTCGAACCAGACAAATGCTTGTATACTCAAATATAAATTACCAATATTTACTTATCTTCGAACCAGACAAATGCTTATATAAGTAAATATAAATTATCAATATTTATCTTTCTCAAAACAAATACTTATAGACTCAAATATGAATTATCAATATTCACCTATCCTCGAACCAGACAAATGCTTATATACGCAAATATGAATTATCAATATTTACCTTTCTCAAAACAGACAAATGCTTATAGACTCAAATATGAATTATCAATATTTACCTATCCTCGAACCAGACAAATGCTTATATACGCAAATATGAATTATCAATATTTACCTTTCTCAAACAGACAAATGCTTATAGAGTCAAATATGAATTATTAATATTTGCCTATCCTCGAACCAGACAAATGCTCATAGACTCCAATATAAAAAGAAGAATCTTTTTACATTGAATGACACAATAGTGGTTAACGTCGTAAAATCAATCAGACAAACAGCAAACTTTGAAATCGTTTCGTCGTCCACCATTTGTAGCAAAGTATTCAGCCATATGACTTGCGTGTGACGTCATAAGTAAATTAGTAGTGTTTATTGTGGCAAGGATACGATGCTTACACGATTTAAAATCGTTTGATCGCACAATGATTGTTGTAACCAGAAACATGATGCGCTCTATGACAGTTTCTCGATATTTTCCTCAGGCAACAAAGTAGATAAGGAATTCTGGACAGACAACAGCAGCGCATGAAAACTGCAGGCACTTACAACTGATGCAAGAACTAACAAGGATGATAACGACACAACAAATGGGAACATTGCATTAAATCAAATCCCAATTCAATGCTCAACACATCAGTCAGTGTAGTGATCAGTATACTCATATGTCATGAGTATTTTTTAGTTATCAACCAACATTGTTACCAGTACTGACACAATAGCATTGGCTATTGTACTTTTCTTCATCCAGAGAATATTGCAATTAAATTGAAAGATTGGTGTCATGTCACTTAGTTAGATGGGCAATTTTTACAGTAATGGCGTAGAGTAAGTTTGTTAGAGTTTACAGATTCTAAAAGTGAAATTGTATAATGAATTATGTCAGGAAATCTGGAGAGACATCGACTGCACGTGAAAACTGCTGGCATCCACAGCTGATGTAAAGACAGGATAGTCGACGACCGCAAAGTTCATCAAATCATATCCCAATTCAACGACTGAAACTAGTTTCTGTCTAGTTGCAGATCATTTGTACCCTTTTCATGTTCGCAAAGTTTCCTGCTGGTGATTGGCCCAGTAAGATAACGCAACTCCCACATTGTGCGCAGTTGACACGAAACTCACACCAACTAGAGTCGGCTAATTTCTAAATCGGCTATTGGCAGTCACTGGTAATTAGTTTTAGACGGTTTTTTTTCAAAAAAAAAAACCCCCAAATTTTCCAAACCCCCCCCAAAAAAAAAAAACCCCCCTTTTCCCTTTCCCCCTTGGGGGTTTTCCCTTTTGGAAGGGCCCGGTTTTTTCCCCTTTTGGGGGGGGGGGGGCCCCCCCCTTTTTAGGCCCCCCGGGGCCCCCCCCCCCCAAATTTTTTTAAAAATTTTTTCCCCCGGGTTCCCCTTTTTGGGGAAAACCCCCCCCCCAAAAAGGGTTTTTTAAAAGGGGGGGGGGAAAAAAAAAAAAAAAATTTAAAAAAGGGGGGAAAAAAAAAAAAAAAATTTTAAAAATTTTTCAAAAAAAAACCCCCAACCTTTTTTACCAAAAAAATTTTTTAAACCCCCCCCCTTTTAAAACCCCTTTTTAAAAATTTTGGGGGGTTTTTTTTTTTTGGGGGGGGTTTTTTGGGGGGGGGAAAAATTTTTTTAAGGGTTTTTTTTTTCCTTTAAAAATTTTTTTTTTTCCCTTTCCCCCGGGTTTTTTGGTTTTTTTTTTTTCCCCCTTTTTTTTTGGGTTTCCCTTTTTTCTTCCTTTTTTTCCTTTTTTAAAAACCCCCGTTTTTTTTTTTTTGGCTTGGGGGGCCCCCCCCAAAAAAATTTTTTTGGGGGAAATTTTTTTTCCAAAAAGGGGGTTTGGACCCTTTTTTTTCATTTTTCCCCGGGGGAAAAGGGCCCCCCCTTTTTTTTGGGGGCCCCCCCCCTCCCCAAAAAATTTTTTTTGGGGGGTTTTTTTTAAAACCCCCAAAAACCCCTTTTCCCCTTTTTTTTTTAAAAAAACCCATTTTTTTTTTTTGGGGGCCCCCCTTTCCCCCCCCTTTTTTAAACCCCCCCCCCCTTTTTCCCGGGATTTTTTTTTCCCCCCAAAAAAGGGGGGAATTTTTTTCCCCCTTTTCCCTTTTTTTAACCTTTTTTTTTGGTTTTTTTTTTTTTTTTTTCCCCCTTTTTTTAAAAAAAAATTTTTTTTCCCCCCCCAAAAAAATTTTTTTTTCCCCGGGGTTTTCCCCCCCAAAAAATTTTTTTTTTTTTTTTCGGCCGGAAAAACCCTTTTTTTGCCCCTTTTTTTTTTTTAAAAAAAAAAATTTTTTTTTTTTTTCCCCCCCCTTTTTTAAAAAATTTTTTAAATTTTTTTTCCCCTTTTTTTCCCCCCCCCCCAAAATTTTTTTTAAAATTTTTTTTTTTAAAAATTTTCCTTTTTCCCTTTTTTTTCCCCCCCCCCAAAAAATTTTGGTTTTTTTTTGGGGGTTTTTTTAAAAAACCCTTTTAAAAGGTTTTTTTAAAATTTTTTTCTTTTTCTCTTTTTTCCCCCCTTTTTTTTTTTTTTTCCTTTTTTTTAAGGGCCCCTTTTTTTTTAAATTTTTCCCCTTTTTTTTCCTTTTTTTTTCCCCTTTTTTTTCCCCCCCAAAAAATTTAAAATTTTTCTTTTTTTTCAATAAAAAAAAAAAAAAAAAAAAAAAAGGAAAAAAAAAAACCCTTTTTTTTAAAAATTTTTTAAAAAAAAAACCCCAAAAAAAAAACCCCAAAAAAAAAAAATTTTAAAAAATTTTTTTTTTTTTTAAAAAAAAAAAAAATTTAAATTTTTTTTAAAAAAAAAGGGGGTTTTTTTAAAATTTTTTTTTTAAAAAAACCCAAAAATTTCCCTTTTTTTTTAAAAAAAAATTTTTTTTAAAAATTTTTTTTTTTTTTTTTTTTTTTTTTTTTTTTGGGGGGTTTTTTTTGGAAAAAAAATTTAAAGGTTTTTTTTTCCCTTTTTTTTAAAAAAAAATTTTTTAAAATTTTTTTTTTCCGAAAAATTTTTTTTTTTTTAAAAAAAAAAAAATTTTTTTTTTTAAAAAAATTTAAAAAGGGTTTTTTTCTTTAAAAACCCCCTTTTTTGGGGGGGGGTTTTTTTTGGGGGGTTTAAACCCCCCCCCTTTAAAATTTTGGGGAAATTTTTAAAAAAAAAAAAACCCCCCCCCCCTTTTTTGCCAAAGAAAAAAGGGGGGAAAAAAATTTTTTTAAAATTTTTAAAAAAAAAAATTTTTTTTTTAAAAAAAAACCCCCAAAATTTTTTTAATTTTTTAACCCCCCCCTTTTTTTTTTTTTAAATTTTTTTTTTTTTAAAAAGGATTTTTTTTTAAAAAAAAAAAATTTTTTTTTGGTTTTTTAAAAAAAAAAAAATTTTTTTATTTTGGTGGTTTTTTTAAAAATTTTTTTTTTTTTTAAAAAGGGGTTTCCCCCCCCAAAAAACCCTTTTAAAAAATTTTTTTTTTTTTTTTAATTTTTTTTTCCCCCCCTATTTTTTTTTTTTTTTGGGTTTTTTTTTAAAAATTTTTTTTTGGGGGGTTTTTTAAAAACCCCAAAAAAAATTTTTTTTTTAAAACCTTTTTAAAATTTTTAAACCTTTTTTTTTTTAAAAGGGGCCTTTTTTTCCCAAATTTTTTTCTTTTCCCCCTTTCCCCTTTTTTTTTTTCCTTTTTTTTTCCCCCCAATTTTTTTTGGGCCTTTTTTTGGCCTTTTTTTTTTTCCTTTTTTTGGGGGGGGGGGGAAAACCCCGGTTTTTTTTTTTTTTTGGAAAAAAAAAAAATAAAATTTTTTTTTTAAAAAAAAAAGGGTTTTTTTTTTAAATTTTTTGGGGGGGAAAAAAGGGGTTTTCGGTTTTTTAAAAAAATTTTTTTTTTTTTTACCCTTTTTTTTTTCCCAAAATTTTTTAATTTTTTAAAAAAAAAAAAATTTTTTTTTTAATTTTAAAAAAATTTTTTGGTTTTAAAAAAATTTTTTAAAAAAAACCCTTTTTTTAAAAAAACCCCCCCCTTTTTAAAAAAAAATTTTAAAAAAAAGGGGTTTTTTTTCCAAAAAACCCTTTTTTTTCCCCCCCAAAAAAAAAACCCCCCCTTTTTTTTTTTTAAAAAAAAAAAACCCCTTTTTTTTTTAAAAAAAATTTTTTAATTTTTTTTTTTTTTTTAAAAAAAGGGGGGTTTTTTTTTTAATTTATTTTTAAACCCCCCCCCTTTTTTTTATTTGTTTTTTTTAAAAAAAAAAAAACCCCGGGGGGGGGTTTTAAAAAACCCCCTTTTTTTTTTTTTTAAAAAAAAATTTTTTTTTTTTAAATTTTTTAAAAAACCCCCCCGGGGTTTTTTTTTTTTAAAAAATTTTTGGGCCCCCCCCACCCCCAAAAAAAAAATTTTTTTTGGTTAAAAAAATTTTTTTTTCCCCGGGAAAAAAAATTTTTTTTTTAATTTGGGGGTTTTTTTTTTTTTTTGGTTTCCCCTAAAAATTTTTCCCCGGGGGGGAAAAAAAAACCCCCCCCCAAAAATTTTTTTAAAAAGGGGAAAAAAAAAATTTTTTCCCCCCAAAAAAAAAAAAAAAAAACCCCCAAAAAAAAAAAAAAAATTTTTCCCTTCCAAATTTTTAAAAAAATTTTTTTTTTTTTTAAAAATTTGGGGGGCCCCCCAAAAAAATTTTTTTTATTTTTAAAAAAAAAATTTTTTTTTTCCCTTTAAAAGGGTTTTTTTTTTTTCTTTTTTTAATTTTTTTTTTTTTTCTCCCTCCCCAATTTTTTTTTTTTCCGGGGGGTATTTCCCCCCCCTTTTTTTTGGGGTTTTTTTTTTTCCGGGGGTTTTTTTTTAAACCTTTTCCTTTTTCTTTTTTTTTTTTGGGGGGAAAAATTGGGGGTTTTTCCCCCCTTTTGGGGAAAAAAATTTTTGGGGTTTGGGGTTTTTTTTTTTCCCAAAAAAATTAAAAAAACCAAAAAATTTTTTTTTTTTTCCCCCCCCCCGGGGAAAAAAAAAAATTTTTTTTTTCCCGGCCCCCCCTTTTTTTTTTTTTTTTCCCCCAAAAAAAAAAAAATTTTTTTTAAAAAAAAAATTAAATTTTTTTTTTAAAAAAAATTAAAATTTTTTTTTTTTTTTCTCGGAAAATTTTTTAAAAAGGGGGGAAAAATTAAAAAAAAACCCCCCCCCCACCCCCCTTTTTTTTTTTTTTTCTTTTCCCAAAAAAAAAAAAAGGGGGGGGGGGGTTTAGGGGGTTTTTTTTAAAAAGGGGGGGTTTTTTTTTTTTTGGGGGGGGCCCCCAAAAAAAATAAAAAAAAAAAAAATTTTTTTTTAAAAAATAAAAATTTTTTTAAAAATTTTTTTAAAAAATTTTTTTTTTTTTTCCCCCAAAAATTTTTTTAAAATTTTTTTTGGAAAAGGGGTTTTAAGGGGATTTTTTAAAAAAAAATTAAATTTTAAAATTTTTAAGGGGGTTTTTTTTTTTTGGGTTTTTTCCCCCCCCTTTTTTTTTTTTGGCCCCTTTTTTTTTTTGGGAAAAAACCCAAAAAATTTTTTTAAAAAAATTTTTTTTTTTTTTTTTTTCCCCTTTTTGGTTTTTTTCCCCAAAAAAAAGGGGTTTTTTTTTCCTTGGGTTTTTTTTGGGGGGCCCCCCAAAAAAAATTAGGGGGAAAAAAATTTTAAAAAAACCCCCCTTTTTTTTTTTAAAAAAAACCCAAAACCCCCAAAAACCCCCCCCAAATTTTTTTAAATTTTTTTTTTAAAAAATTTTTTTTCCCCCCCTTCCCAAATTTTAATTTTTTTAAAATTTAAAAACCCTTTTTTCCCCCCAAAAAAAATTTTTTTTTTCTTCCCCAAAAAACCCCCCCGGGGGGGCAAAAAAAAATTTTTTCCCCTTTTAAAACCTTTTTCCCCCCATTTAAAAAAACCCCCCCTTTTTTTTTTTCCCACCCCTTTTGGCCCCCTTTTTTTTTTTTTTTTGGGGGAAAAAATTTTTTTTTTTTTGTTTTTTTTAAAAAAAGAAAAACCCCTTTTTTTTTTTTTGGGTTTTCCCCAATTTAAAATTTTTTTTTTTTTTAAAAAAAAACCTTTTTTTTTTTGGGGGTTCTTAAATTTGGGCCCCTTAAAACCCCCCGGGCCCCCCAAAAAAAAATTTGGGGGGGTTTTTTTAAGGGAAAATTTTTGGGGGGTTTTAAACCCAAAATTTTGGCATTTTTTAAAAATTTGGGGTTTTTTTTAAAAAAAAAAAATTTTAAAAATTTTTTAAAATTTTTTAGGGGGTTTTTTAACCCCGGGGGGGGGGGAAAAAAAAAAAAAAAAAAGGGGGGGGGGGAAAAAAAAAACTCCCAAAAATTTTCCCCCGGGGGGAAATTTTTAAAAAAATTTTTTTTTAAAAAAAAAAATTTTTAAAAGCCCTTTTTTTTTTAAAAAAAAAAAAAAATTTTTTTAAAGGGGCCCCCCCCCCTTTTAAAAAAAATAACCCCCCCAAAAAAAAAAAAAAAATTTTTGGGGGGCCCCAAAATTTTTTTTTTTTTTTTAAAAAAAACCCAAAAAAATTTTTTAATGGAAAATTTTTTAAAAAAAACCCCTTTTCCAAAAAAACCCCAAAAAAAAAAAAAAAGGGGGGGGAAAAAAAAAAAAAAAAAAATTTTTTTGGAAAAGGGAAAAAAAAAAATTTTAAAAAAAACCCCCTTTTTTTTAATTTTTGGGCCCCCAAAATTTTGGTTTTTTTTCCCAAAAATTTTCCCCCTTTTTTTTTTTTTGGGTTTTGGTTTTTTTTTTTTCCAAAGGGGGGGGGTTAAAAATTTTTAAAAGGGGGGCCCAAATTTTTAAAAAAAACCCCCACAAAAACCCCCCCCCCCCCCACCCCTTTTTTTAAAAAAATTTTTTTTAAATTTTTTTTGGCCAAATTTTTTTTTTGGGGGGGTTTTTTTAAAAAAAAAAAAAGGGGGGGGGTTTTTAAATTTAAACCCCCCCTTTTTTAAAAAAAAGGGGTTTTTTTTTTATTTTGGGGGGGTTTAAAGGGGGTTTAAAAAAACCCCCCTTTTTTTAAAAAAACCCCTTTTCCCCCCGGGGTTTTTAAAACCCCCCCCAAAAATTTTTTTTTTTAAAAAACCCCTTCCCCCGGGGGGAAAAAAAAAAAAAAGGGGTTTTTTGGGAACCCCTTTCCCCAAAAAAAAAGGGGGCCTAAAAATTTGGGGGAAAAAAATTTTTTTTTTAGGGGAAAAAAACCTTTTTTCCTTTAATTTTTTCCCCCAAAAAAAATTTTTTTAAAAAACCAAAAGGGGGACCCCCAAAAAAAATTTTTCCCCCCGGATTTTTTCCCTTTTTTTGGGGTTTTTTTTCCCTTTTTTTTTTTTTTCCCTTTTTTTTTTTTTTTTTTGGGGGGGGCCCCCCAAAAATTTTAAACCCCTTTTTTAAAAAAAAAAAAAAAAATTTTTTTTGGTTTTTTAAAAATTTTTTTAAAAAAAAAAAATTTCCCCCAAATTTTTAAAATTTTTTTTTCCCTTTTCCCCTTTTTTTTAAAAAAAAAAACCCCCCTTTTTTTTTTTTTTTTTTTTTTTGGGGGAAAAAAAAAAGGGGGGGTTTTTTTTGGGGGGGGCCCCTTTTTTTTTTTTTTCCCCCCTTTTTCCCCCCCCCCGGGGGGGGAAAAAAAAAAAATAAATTTAAAAAAATTTGTTTGGGAAAAAAAAAAAAAAAGGGAAAAAAAAAAAACCAATGAAGATGCAGATAATAGTCAGTAAATGTGAGTAATCATAATACCTCATCTCAGAGATATAGACAAAATTAACTTAATATAGATTTTTTTGTTTTGATATAAAGGTGTAGATTTGTTTTATCACATCATGTGGTCATTTAAAAACATATTTATGCTTTCTACCTGAAACTATTTTTGGTTCTTCGACTCGACTATGTAATTTCGCCTCTATTTTGGTGCTTTTTTTCTACTCACCTCTAATATGGCCGTCCTCTTCTTTGGATTTTAAAACAAAGAAAGAAGATTTCGGCCAAGAGAAGAGGAATAAAATGTGATAATGGAGGCTCGTGTGAAGAGATTAAAGAGAGGAAACTGTAGATATAATGTGGGGAGTTACAATATTTTGTAAAAGACGGAAAATTGATGAAAATACCAGGAAATTGATCGCCGAACAGAATTATAAAAATCTACAAAAATTCACTCGAACCTAGGATCTTGATTTGTGGTCCAATTTAACTTTTTTCTTTGCTTTTACGCTCTTTCTTTCTTTCTTCTTTGCCTTTACGCTCTTTCTTTCTTTCTTTGCTTTTACGCTCTTTCTTTCTTTCTTTCTTTCTTTGCTTTTACGCTCTTTCTTTTTCTTTCTTTCTTTCTTGCTTTGCGTTTACGCTCTTTCTTTGTTTCATTCTTTCTTCTTTGCTTTTACGCTCTTTCTTTCTTTCTTTCTTTCTTTCTTTCTTTCTTTCTTTGTTTGCCTTTACGCTCTTTCTTTCTTTCTTTGCTTTTACGCTCTTTCTTTCTTTGCTTTTACGCTCTTTCTTTTTCTTTCTTTCTTTCTTGCTTTGCGTTTACGCTCTTTCTTTGTTTCATTCTTTCTTCTTTGCCTTTACGCTCTTTCTTTCTTTCTTTCTTTCTTTCTTTCTTTCTTTCTTGCTTCTTTGCTTTTATGCTCTTTATTTCATTCCTTTCCTTTCTTTTCCTTCTTTAAATATTTCACATTTCTTTTCTCTTATTTCTTTTTAAAATTCGTTTTTTAAATTTTCGTTTTATTTATTCCTTGAAATTTATTTCGATTGTTAAATTTCTTCATTCGCCGAATCTTCATTTCTTTTAAACTTGTAATTTTTTCAGCTTTCTTGAGATTTATCAAGTTTCTCTACATTTCTCTTCTTATGCTGTCCTTTGAATTCTTTTCAACGCAGACCAACACACATTAATCCTGAGTTTCATGACTAATGCATCTTTTGTTTGCTGGCGTCTAATAACAATAACTTTAACTGATAACAAAATGTTTTAACATTTTTTTGTTAAAGTAATATTTTAACATTTCAACCAATATTTTCTTAAAAAAATGCAAAGCCATTAACATCTCAACTTGTACAAAAAGCAATATTTATCATGATCGGATATAGAAGATAAAAAACTGTATTTGATAATATAAAGGCACACAAATTTCTGCGTTTTTGTTCATCCGTAACGAGGAAATCTCACTTGCCGTCTTGCGATATTTTTTTTTGTTTTGTGTTCGCTTAAAAGCCAAGTTATACATTTTGTCAAAACTACATTGTCCATCAAAATATGTTTGAAAAATTGATGCTACACAATCTTTCAATAAAGTAGGAATCTATATGGAACACATCTTAGTACGCTTAAATGTAGTTATCTGAAAAATAAATCAAATGCTTAAAATTCATTTTGAAAAATGAAAAATCATTCTTGAAGCTTTTAGTTATAACTAGCAGTAGAACCCGGCGTTGCCCGGGGATGTAACAGTAAGAGATAGATCAAGTATCGACCATCAAAAAGACTGAAAAATAAAATTGACAAAGATTATTGTTTAAGGTTGACGGACACGCATGTCTTAATTAGTTTTTTTTGTTTTTTTTACGAATTGGTCAAACCTAAACTCAAACAAAAACATTGTTTTCAATCGCTATGTGTCTACCGATTGAATAGAATTTTATTATAAACAATTGTCTTGTAAATGGAATTTTTAAAGCATTCTGAATGTAAAAATCAAGAAAAAAAGTGTGCAAGACAATAAGAAACACTACCTGCCAAAAAAAAAAGTGAAGTTTTGTTGAAATCGGTTGAAAAAATGTAGGAAATCCGTTCCCATATAAACGAACACACACACACACACACACACACACACACACACACACACACACACACACACACGCAAACACACACACACACACAACCGGGGTTTTTATAATAAGTATAACTCGATATGAGTTGTCCCCCTTACATTCTGGCGACAGAATCGTGGTTTATCGTGTTTTCAAATTGATTTCGTGCAAAAACAATTGTTTTTCCAATTTTTGGTACTGTCAGAACCACTGCAAAGTAATTTTACGCAGTCCTGTGAAGTTTTGCTGAAATCGGTTGAAAAATGTAGGAAATCCGATCCAATATATAAACGTACACACACACACACACACACACACACACACACACACACACACACACAATCTGCATTTTATAATAAGTAAGATTCCAAGTTAATAGATTAAAATTAATATTTCCAATAAGCAAAATACTTTGCTCTATTTCAAAAATAATTTAAATTGATTGGAATAGTTTTTTTCTGATTATCTGTAAAATTTATAAATTTATCCATATTAACAAATCTGTCTACACAACATAACTCGTTTTATTAAAATATGTTTAAAAAATAAAATATAATTTTCTGAAACATTATTTCAGAGAAATTAAGTGATTTAAAGTTTAATAATTCTGAATTAAAAAAAAATTATTGTGATTCCCCATATATAATACGCATTATTTTCTAAAAATACTAAACCAAATTAGGGGTGCGTATTATGTTGTCTGTTGATAAACTACCTTTTCTAATTAAATGTAAATGTTTCGCAAATATATTTTGATTAAAGTAACAGGATTTTATATATTTTAACCCTTTTGTATCTGGTCTTAAGATTTTGACCAAGGGTGTATATTAGTAATTATGAGATATTTTAGTAGTTTTTAATATTGCTTATCGTTGTAAATCATTGGATTACGGTATAGTAGGCTGGGATGTTTAGGGTTATTTGTAGAAGTATTATGTTCTTTTTGATTTATGTTAATATTTCTAATGGCTTGTCTAATTTGTACATCAACGATGGAATTAGGAAAGTCATTATTAATTAGAGTATGTTTAATGTTTTTTAATTCAGTGTAGAAAAATATTCAAATGTGACGGGAACGAAAAGAATATAAATTCAAACGTTCATAGCATTAATTTAAAAGAGGGCTCAATACCAAGAGTAGAGCAATAGTTATTTATTATAAAGATGTTAGATATAGACAAACAAGTACTCACGACAAAGATGCATTTTTGTTTCGAGGCGAACGCATCTCGACAGGTGAGGAACAAAGACGGTTGCCATCTTTTACAAAGATTCGTCACCTGTCGAGATGCATTCGCATCGAACCAAAAATGCATCTTTGTCGTGAGTACTTGTTTGTCTATATCTAACATTTTATAATAATATATATATATATATATATATATGTTAAAATAATCATATTTTTAAAAAGAAAATAATTATAGTATATATATATATATATATATATATATAGAGAGAGAGAGAGGGATTCTTGTTTTTCAACCTATGTACCGCAAGCCCACACAGGTTCTTAAATACCCTAGGACTCTTTTTGTCCGTGACAACAGAAACTAATTCTTATTAAGACGCTGGTGCACCGAGCCGTTGAAAATTTTTTCTCAAACCGAGTTACAATCGGAGATTGAGTTTATCACTAAGGTATTAGTTGAAAATGGTTACCCACTGGGCGTTGTTGAGTCAGGCATTCGTGCCAAGATGGTGCAATTTAAGAAACCCAAATTGGTTAGCCCAGAGAAATGTCCTGTGTATTTGTAACTCCCGTGGATTGTTAGGGTCATCAGAGGATTTGCTAAGCAAATCTCCCAACGTGTTAAACCTTAGTATTTTCGTCTCAACCTGTGTTGAGAGCTATTTGTAAGGACGTTCTTCCTCCGCATGACATAAGCTCAGGAATATATAGATTCAAGTATCAGTATGAATCTGATTTTTAGGGAGAACTCATCAATGATTGGAAACGCGAACTGATCAGCACGTGCCGGCTGAGCTTCTCCATGGAATGTGTGATAATTTGCAGAAGCCGGTTAGCACGTCTGGTTCAGCGATTGTTAAACATATACTTAATAGTATGGGTTGTGCAATATCATTTAGCAGTAGTTCTTTCACAATAATCAGCATCGCACACTTTGATTATCACGTGAAACTTAAGAGGATATATATATTGCGGCCATGCAGCCTTCCCTCTGCAGAAAAATAGTTGTTTGACCTCAGTGTCATAACAGTGATATATAGGGTGCCTTCCCCCCAAAATTGACATCAACATGTAGACTAAAAACAGTCAATTCTCATTCAAATGATCTCAAATCTTAACAAAATGTGTAAATCTAAGTTGACAGCGAGAACTTATCTGAATGAGGATCTACCAGGAAGAGAAATCAGGGGTGCTAGTGATTATGACAATATCCTGTATATATGAAAAGACAGATCTATTTACCCCACTTTCTACGAAACTAGAGAAATACAGAATCACCGAGGAGCTGGAGAATGTTACAGCGTGTTTGGCAGGAGCTGGACTAACGACATGACATGTTTCGTTTCACAGGTGGTGCGCATATTGAACATTTGTTAAATTGATTATAAGATCTACATCCATTTGAATATCTGGTTGGTAATTTGATAAATCTTTTATTCAACAAGAAGCGTATTTAATTTCACTTGCTTCGGACATATACCGTAATTTCAAATGTATAATACGCCTTCATCCATAATACGCACCTCTTGTTTAGTAATCAAACACTATGAATTGTAGATCTCCAATTTCATTATGGCCAGCGTTTCTTACTCTTATTAAAATGGTTTTAAACATAGAATAATATTATTCTAATTTAATTTTATAATAATTATTATTTTATTTTACATTTGTAAGTATTGTTAGGTACATATTATTGTATTTGATATCCTTATGGGGTCGCAATCGCCGAATTTTAGTGCCAAATTGGCGTATGTTTGTGGTGAGTAGTTATTTCGCAACTGAAATCGAGCTATGAAACGGTAATTTTTTAAAGATGTTTTGTCGCTGTGCATAATACGCTCTCCTTATTTTGCTTGTTATTTTTTAGAAAAAAATGCGTATTATACATGGAGAATTACGTTTGTTACTCAGATATTCACATTTTAAATGATGTCATTTTTTTGGTGGGGGGGCACCTTGTATTTTGTTTCCTTTCCTGCTGATCCACTTTGATAATTTTTGCCTTTCTCTCTTTCCTTCCCTCCCTATCTATCTATCTATCTATCTATCTATCTATCTATCTATCTATCTAAATCACTCCTATTTGTTTCAGTGTGTTTTGAAAGCATTGAACACTTATACACGTTTGTCCCCGGGAGGCTCTCAAAAGTGAGGATTGAAACCGGTTAGCCGTTTTTTGGTTATATATTTGCTATTTATTGTTTTTCTCTCCTTTCGCTTCATCTCTTTATCGTGTCTTTGTTTTATTTATTAGTGTTTTCTTTCCCCCTTGTTTGTTGGTTCGTCATTCTATGTTTGTTGCACATTTCAACATGCCCGTGTTTTATAGATGTATGTGTGTGTGCTTAACATTTCAGATATAAATAAAATATATATTTGTAAAAGGACAATATCAATAAAGACAAAAGGGAAACTTATCATAGCCGATTCGTTTCGTCCTCGAATGGACTTTATCAAGATAAATGTAAGCACTTTAAATTGCAACAAGTATTTATAAGCGAATGTAAAGAAATGCCATTAGATTTTCAAAATTTTTAAGAACGCTCAAGCTAACTGAAAGTGTCGGTAAATTATGGGAGATGTCGAATAAACAAAAGTAAATATCGTTGTTTAATTTTTTCTAAAAGATAACATTTTAAAGGCAAGCACTTTTTACACTTACAATTCTCAATATCAAGAGAGGGCAATAATAGTAATAAAAGTGAAAATTTAATCA